CTTCAGCTAGGCAAGGATCCGCTTACCGGGAGGGAGGACCTTCGGCTGAACCTCCACCAAACCAACCGAGGGGCTGCTCTTATGCCCTGACAGTGGGCCAGATGGTGGACGAGTGGGGCGGGGGGTCAGAGAGTATGCGTAGAACGCACAAAGTCCAGCCCTACTCGCCCCCCATCTGGCCCACCGTCTGGGCAGATAGTCCAGGCCAAATCTACCCGAATTGTCGGTCGTCCATCGCGGTGGCTCCGTACAGCCGACAAATGGGTTGCAGGGCTCCCCTTAATGCCTGTAATAATTTTTGTTCATCTACGATCTACATATAAGTATAGTAATTCTATCAGAAGGAATTCAACCTATCTCAAAATAATGGAATAGTAACGATGTTATTTTAAGTTAAAACACACTAATGTCCTCGGCCCGGAAGCCGCACCTCGAAAATTGGAAAACCCGCCAAAGCTCCAGCCAGGCTGTGTCGTCGGGCGCATTAATGGCCTGGCCCTCACAATGAGCAAAACTTGGGAAGAATTCCCCGCCTTTTTGGGCCACACGCTCTTCGAGCAGTTTCAGAGCCTTCGAAGCTTTCCAAGCAGTTCAGATGCATCCGAAAGGCTTTTCGAGCCGTTCCGATTGTTCTGCAGCTTTCAGGCTGTTCGGACGCTTTCGAGCTGTTCGAAGCTCTTCAAGCAGTTCAGGAAAAGCTGAGGCTTTTCCTTTTCAAGTGCAATGCTTGAATAGGCATTTTTCAATGGGCGCCGTCAACCCATAAAATTGCTGACTGTACGGGGCCACCGGGTCAGAAGGAACGAGGCGTGTTCCGACTGACAAATTGGGGTGGGGAGGGTTTGACTATCTGTCCAGACAGTGGGCCAGATGGGGGGCGAGTGGGGCGGCGACAGGGAACAAGGAGCAGGGGTTCAGTTACCCAAATTTGAGGTTAGGCTGGTGGTGACGTGATGTTTTCGGTATGGCAGATTTTACATAGTACAGCATCGACCGTTTTTTCCGCTTTTTGTACCTGTGCTGTTTGGTTGACCCTGGTGTCGACGCGGTAGCCGAGCTGCGTGAAGAGGTTGTGCAGGTTGGCGCAGTCGACGTCGGTGCCTGCAAGGGGTTATCTGGTTTTATCTATCTAGTTTTAGCTCTCGCTCTCTCTCTCTCTCTTTCTGTCTCTCACACTCACTCTCGCTTCCTCTCGCTCTCTCCCCTCTCGCCCTCGCTTTCTCTCTCTCTCTCTCTCTCTCTCTCTCTCTCTCTCTCTCTCTCTCTCTCTCTCTCCTTTCTCTCTCTCTCTCTCTCTCTCTCTCTCTCTCCCACCTTTCCGCTCGGGCTGGTCCGAGAAGTTGCGATTGTTGATGATCATGGCCGCTCCTTTCGGGGCCGTGAAGTGCGCATAGATCTGGAAAGGATCAATGAATTCCTTCAAACATCGACAAACAAATTACCTAAATTCCCAGTCAGTTTATAAACGCGAAAAGCCCGAAAAATAGATTTTCTTTAACATGCTCCCCCATTTTCTATTTTCTATTTTCAAATCTCAATAGTTTTAAAGTTTTTAAAGGCCAAAAGCGACATCCCCTTCACTGTAGCGGCCCCTTAGAAATCGCAAAAATGTTGTTTTTTGAGAAATTATTCGATTTCTTTTGCCGGCCGGGGGGAAAGACGTCAAGCCTTTGACAGGAGTGAATTGAGATTCATGGATTCAGGCCTATATAGAAAAATGTCTATAAAAGCGGTCAGCCCGGGGTTCCAGAGAAAATTCGCTGCTCAAAAATGCGCCTGCTCGCTACCGTACTCCTCGCATTTGCCATGCTGACCGTGGCCACGGCCTACTACGGATCGCTGGTGGGGGTTTTAAAGTTTTTTGAAAGAGAGGAGAGAGAGAGAGAGAGAGAGAGACAGAGAGAGAGTCAGGGGAAGTGAGGGAGATATCAACATTTTCAGAAACCCTGCAAGCGAGACAGTGACTGCTGGCACTACGAGATGTGTAGCAGCTCCTTCGTATGCGAGTTCAAATCAAAAGGCTAACCCAGCCCGCCGATAATCCGCAATAAATTGTTTGAATAAATCGCTGTATTCTAGAAAAGACGACCACACAACCGCGTAATTAAAAAGCCTAACAAGGAAACCTCCCCAGCTCGAAGTTGGACCTCGATTAGCCATATAGCCTATCTGATGCAGTTTTTCACGCTGATAACGATATCGATATTTATTTTTGCCGAGCGCCACAGGAACATTGTTAAAAATCGATTTAAAGTTTTGTCATGTCTGGCAGCCCCGCCTCAAAGACCCTCCCCACTGGAAAGGATCCATCGGCGGCGTGGTGTAGTCGGGAAGTACTTGGCCTACCAATCTAGAGGTCGCTAGTTCGAGTCTTGCCGCTGACGACTTTTTTGCTTTTTGCTTCAAAAGTGCTGTGAAGGTCCTATCAGTCTACAAAAATATGGTTTTAAGTTTTTTTGAACTTTTGGTCACCAATTCAAGTTGCTCGATTTGATTTCTCGGAAAGACTGTTTTTCAGCCGAAGACATTTGGAATTATCGGTGGATCACCAACTATTTAATGCACCAGCCACTCTTTTGAAAACTTCTTGAAAAAAAAGAGAAGGAAATACTAGGTTCTGTCTTTAAGTTTTTTTTTACATCTTATGTCAAGCTTCATTTCTGCACCAAGGTAAGCGATTTGAGGTCATAAAATTCATGAGGATCGTATCGAGACCTGTGGTTCGTTGTAGCCATAACTACCTGAATTAACTACCAAATGTGCAAAAAAACTTAAAAATATCTTTCTTGATGACTTGTAGGACCTTCACAGCACTTTTGAAGCAAAAAGCAAAAAAGTCGTCAGCGGCAAGACCCGAACTAGCGACCTCTAGATTGGTAGGCCAAGTACTTGCCGACTACACCACGCCGCCGATGGATCCTTCCCCGTGGGGAGGGTCTTTGAGGCGGGGCTGCCAAAAATGACAAAACTTTAAATCGATTTTTAACAATGTTCCTGTGGCGCTCGGCAAAAATAAATATCGATATCGTTATCAGCGTGAAAAACTGCATCAGATAGGCTATATGGCTAATCGAGGTCCAACTTCGAGCTGGGGAGGTTTCCTTGTAAGCCTAAGCCTAAGCCTAAGCCTAAGCCTAAGCCTAAGCTAAGCCTAAGCTAGGCCTAGGCTAAGCCTAAGCCTAAGCCTAAAGACGGCCACACAACCGCGTAATTAAGAAGCCTAAGCCTAAGCCTAAGCCTAAGCCTAACCTAAGCCTAAGCCTAAGCCTAAGCCTAAGCCTAAGCCTAAGCCTAAGCCTAACCTAAGCCTAAGCCTAAGCCTAAGCCTAAGCCCAAGCCTAACCTAAGCCTAAGCCTAAGCCTAAGCCTAAGCCTAACCTAAGCCTAAGCCTAAGCCTAAGCCTAAGCCTAAGCCTAAGCCTAACCTAAGCCTAAGCCTAAGCCTAAGCCTAAGCCTAAGCCTAAGCCTAAGCCTAACCTAAGCCTAAGCCTAAGCCTAAGCCTAAGCCTAAGCCTAACCTAAGCCTAAGCCTAAGCCTAAGCCTAAGCCTAACCTAAGCCTAAGCCTAAGCCTAAGCCTAAGCCTAAGCCTAAGCCTAAGCCTAAGCCTAAGCCTAAGCCTAAGCCTAAGCCTAAGCCTAAGCCTGCCAACCCCGTTAAACCCCTTGGCGCATTCATGCGAGGCCAAACAACCATTTTCGCGGAAAAACAAAACAGTCCTCTACCGGAAACGCATCAGCTGGTTCTCATTAAAATTCACTGCCGCGGAAAATTAAAAATGGTTTTATGCCATATAAAACCCGTGTGACCTGCAGGAAGACTCTCAACGTTTCTGCTAAACCATGCGCCTGCTGGCTACCGTAATCCTTGGCTTTGCCTGGCTGGCAGTCGCCATCGCTCAAATACCGGAAGTGGGTTGTCTTACTATTAAAAATACAACAAAATTGGACGAAAAAGTCTCAAAAAATTCAAGCCAGAATTTTTAAAAAAGAAATTTTGAATTGTTCACATTTTTAGTGCATTTTCCAATCAAATCTAATCTTTACGAGGCTTTCCCGCCCTTTAAAAGGTTAGAAAAGTTCTTACACAACATTTTTCACCATCTTTCGATCAACTGTAATATTTTAGATACTTTCCGGACCTTTAAAATGTCATAATTTAGGTAATTTTCGATGAAATTCCATGTTGTATATCTTGCATATCATTTTACTACTACCTTTTAAATGACAGAAAGTTCCAATTTCCTAAGCCTAAGCCCAAGCCTATGCCTAAGCCTAAGCCTATGCCTATGCCTAAGCCTAACCTAAACCTAAGCCTAACCTTAAGCCCAAAGCCTAAGCCAAGCCTAAGCCTAAGCCTAAGCCTAAGCCTAAGCCTAACCGAAGCCTAAGCCTAAGCCTAAGCCTAAGCCTAAGCCTAAGCCGGGTCCTAAGCCTAACCTAAGCCTAAGCCTAAGCCTAAGCCTAACCTTAAGCGCGAAGCCTAACTAAGCCCAAGCCTAAGCTTAACTTAAGCCAAAACCGAGCCGAGATTCGAAATAGAGGATGGGGCGGGGCTTGCCAGAGTTCCCTCTCCCTTTAATACCGTCAAAACTAAACTACACTTAATTAACATTTTTCGCAACTTTTTTTCAGAGAAGCTGCTCGCGGGACCGGGATTGCCGCTCTTATGAGTACTGCGCCAGCGGCGGCATCTGCGAATTCCCGTGAAGAAAACCGGAAATCCACCTTCCTATTTTCCCACACGTTTTTGGGGCATAAACTTGTGAAGTCCGGGTTCCCGGAAAGCTCGTGAAAAATCGATAATAAATTCCGGGCTCGAAAATTCGGAAACTCGGCGAATATTTTCATATTTCCGGAAAGTTTGGCCCGACCACATGAATAAAAAGCAGGGGAATTATGCGGCGAGAGAGAGAGAGAGCGAGAGAGAAGGAGAGAGAAACCGCCAGAGAAAGAAGCCTATAAAATGCTAGAAACCCGGGTTTGTGGAATTTTTGCACAATGATCCGCCGCCTCGCTCTCTGTATATTATTGTGTGCCCTGGTCGGGTTGAGGTACGGTAGTTCCAATAAAATGAAAACTGGGTTCCCCAGTGGTCTCTGCTAGTTAGCCCTCTGAGATCGGAAATAGGCCTTGATAAATGAGAGGCAGACAGAGAAAGACCGAGTGAGAGAGACAGAGAGAGCGAGAGATAGAGAGATAGTGAGAGCGAGAGATAGTGAGATCGAGAGAGAGAGCTAGCGAGAGATAGAGAGAGACCGAGAGAGGGAGAGAAACAGAGGGAGATAGGGAGGGAGAGAGAGCAAGAGAGCGAGAGAGAGGAGCGCGCAAACCCAAAAAAATCTCTGCTAGCTAGCCCGATTTTTAGCCAAGCGAACGCTTGCCGTGAGGATTCGGACTGTCCGGACAACTGGACGTGTCTCATGGAAACATGCTATGAATTTGACCTAAGAGCCCCTTCCGGCGGAAAAGGCGGCCGAGGGGCGAATGGTCGGCATGGAGCGCCGGTGATTAAATTCAAATTTAAAGTTTAAAAGTCCAAAATTGAAATTTTCTATCGCTGTCACGCTCCCTTTAAAAAACTGTGAAACCGGTATCCCTTAAAAACTTCATTTTCAGCAAGGATTTGGCTGCAAGTCGGATTCGGACTGTACGCTAGAGGGATATCAGTGCGATTCTGGCACGGGCTTCTGTGTCCTCTTCCCAAAATAATGTGAAATGGATGCCGAATATAATAAAACGACTATTTCTAACCTAAAAAATGAATAAATAATACAAATGCATAAAGAACAAATTAATCATAAAGCTGAGTTTGGGCGAGCTAGCAGAGATTCCCTAGGAAAAGCTAAGCTCAACACGGCAAGCTAACGGCCATTCTTCGGGAAAATCGAATCCCGGGGCAGGCTAGCAGGGTTTCTTCCACAAAATCAAGCTGTCAAAGCAGGCTAGCAGCGGTTATTTAGGAAAAATGAGAGGTGGGCAAGCTAGCAGGGATTCTTTGTGAAATATGGAAAAGCTAGCAGCAGTTTCCTTAAGAAAATCCCGAGCTCAGGCAAGCCAGGATAGATCATTTGGGGGAAAAATGGAAGGCTGAGGTGAGCTAGCAGAGATTCTTTTGGAAAATTAAGAGTTGGCATGCTAGCAGCAATTCTTTGGGAAGAATGTAAACTGGGCAAGCTAGCGTAGATTTGTAGGAAGCCAAAAATCAACAGCGGCTTAAATTTATACGCCAAATCAGGGGAGCGAAATATAAAACCGCGATTTTGGCAAGTATCGACATTTTTCTGGAAAAATGCGGCCAGCCTTCTTTCTCGGTCTTCTGCTGCTGGCTGTCGTCGTTTCAGGGTACGGTAGGGATGGTGGTATTCCGCAAAGAAACTCTGCTAGATCGCCTGAGCAAAGAAAAAAAAGCAGAAATTCCGAAAAACCTCCCCTTCCCCTGCTAATTATCGCCCCCCCCCGCTAACAGTCCAGAACCAAAGATTCAGCCAAAAACGCCGCTGGTGCAACTCGTCGCGTGACTGCCCAGAGGGATTCGACTGCTTCCGGAATAAGTGCTCTGATTGGGATATCGGCAAGCGCCATCGCGGTCAGGTAAAGTTTCCGGTTTAAAGGGGCGGTTACACGAGGAGGGACGTCTTGATAACCTTCAAATTCGAATTTTTAGCCAGAATGCAAGATTGAGGAAGACTGCGAGCGCGGGCAACACTGTTGGGATGGAAAATGCCGGTGGTGATATTGAAAGATTGTAGAAAAGTTGAATAAATTATCTTAACCAACTAACAAGTATTACCGCCTGAGCGAAAGATAGGGGGAGAGAGAGAGAGAGAGAGAACGAGAGAAAGAAAGAGAGAGAGAACGAGCGAAGAGAGAAAAAAGAGATATAGGGAGCGAGAGGAGAGAGAACGAGCGAGAGAGAAAAAGAGAGAGAGAGAGAGGGAAGAGAGGGAGAGAGGGCAGAGTTTCTTCAAAAGCCAAAATTCGCGCTCGAAATAGAACAAAATAGAATATAACACTCAAAATTAACATAAATATAAATTTATACAAAAAAAAAATTCAAATACGGAAAATGGCTCAGGGAGCTCGGGAATTCGGGAAGTTAGCAGAGACCATTTCGGATACTTTACGAACCAAAAACCAGATCAAAGACCAATGTCCACTGGGAACCGAAAAAATACATAACCGAACAGGCGTTTTGTAAAACTTTCGGAGCCCTCAATTTCTTGGTAAATAAAACTCCCGGCTTTCTCTAGATGTTCAACATTTTTTCTCAAAAAATGTTGGCCACCTATTTATTCTGCGCGCTGATTCTTGGGCTGGCGATGGAGGGGTAGGTGTACGGGATTTCCAGTCATTTCGCATAATTTTCATTTCGCATAACGTTATTTCGCATAATTGCATTTCGCATAACGGTTATTTCGCATAACGATTATTTCGCATAACGCTTATTTCGCCTAACGACCATTTCGCATAACGATCATTTCGCATAACGGTCATTTCGCCTAACCGTTATTTCGCATAATTTTCATTTCACCTAACCACCATTTCGCATAACGCCGATTTCACATAATTTCCGGCATCGGCAGCCGATGGTTTATATAACTCTCTTTTAGTAATTAGCAATCGATGAAAAACAATCTACCTGCGGGGTTTTTTGCGCCTTTTCGTGCAGATGTCCCAAGCTTGCTCAAAACCCCTGCCGCATGAGGCACACGTCTTTTTTGGCGGCTTTGCCAAAAATCCTACGCTGTGGACAGTAGCTATGGGTAAACTAGCAAATCTGACCGCAAGTCTAGGTCAAAAGCATCACATTGATTGCAGATTCGGAATCTGGGTAAAAGGTAGCTAAGTATTTGGGTAGTCCGATACCGTGACTGCACTTCTTGTCATCAAAAACGTCTTGTTTTCCTCTTAGTTGATACTGACTCAAAATTATGCGAAATAAACGTTATGCGAGATCATCGTTAGGTGAAATGAAAATTATGCGAAATGGTCGTTATGCGAAATGACGGTTCGGCGAAATTACCGTTATGCGAAATACTTGTTAGGCGAAATAAGCGTTATGCGAAATCACCGTTATACGGGATGACCGTTATGCGGAATATAAATTATGCGAAATAGCGTTATGCGAAATGGTAATTATGCAAGATAAAGAACTACCGTGTACGGTAACCCGAGCGTTCTTAGAAGCTTCAAGAATTAATGGTAATCTTGCAGATTCTTTCGGAAAGAGCAGGCCAGCAGAGATAGTTTAGAAGTTAGAGAGGGCAGGCCAGCAGAGTTCGCTTCAGAAAGCTAAGGGCAGGCTAGCAGAGAACATTTTCAGTCACTGCCTGCCGGGGAAACGAGAGAGGCGCCGTCTGGAGGGCCAGCTGGAGGGTAACTCGAACCAGAATTTTCGTGTCACACTCCCTTTAAGCTGGGTCTGTACCAAGAACACGGACTGTGATGGGCAATTCTGTATCGACGGTCGCTGCACCGGAAATCAGGCTCGAGCTCCGATAAATCCGTAGGTCAAAATCTTGTCGCACTCGCTCCATAGGAATCCATAGCCGAAAATCGATAACCTTGCCTTGCCGTCCCCTTTAATCAAATACTTTTAGATGCGGCTGCTCCGCGGGACAAGGGTGCTACAATGGAGTGTGCTTCGGCATGGGACATCGCGTTGGCGGGTAGGTTTGCAGAGATTATTTGGGAATTTAGGGGCTGGCTAGCCGAGATTCTTTAGGGAATGGCAGGCTAATAGAAAACCTTTAGCAAATTTCATGAAGAATCGAGGACAATGTAGCAGAGCTTCTTTAGGAAAATAAGAATCCAACTGGCGGAGATCCCTTGAGACTTTAAGGCAAAGTAGCATAGATCATTAGGGAAGGAGGCAGGCTAGGAGGGATTTTTCGGAAATTAGGGCAGGCTAGCATAGACCACTCTGGAAAAGAAAATGTAGGCTAGCAGAGATTCTTTAGGAAAATAACCGACAGAATAACATAGATTCTTTTTGAAAGTGGCAGGCTTGCAGGGATCTTTTGGGATTCAGAGTCAGTTAGCAGAGGTTTTCTAGGCAAAAATTCAGGCTAACACAGCTTAATTCGGAAATAGGCTAGCTAGCAGCGATTCCTGAAATACAAAAATTAAAAGTTGAAAATTGTTCAGAAACGTACGCCCGCGAACGCTCCAGAAGCGACAGATGGGTGATATGAACTATCTGCCAGGACCATATTAAAATCGGGCGGCTAATAAAGTGTTTTCAAGCTGTCACGTTCCCTGAAACGCTAAAAACTAGGTGTTACCGCCCCTTTAAAATTTAACAAAATATCGTAAACCTAACCACAAGTTTCAAAAAAACGATATCGTAAACCTTCGATGTTCAGCAACGTCCGCCCCAAGACCCTGCAGAAGCGTCAGATCGACGATTACTACCTACCGTACCCCTAAGCGATTATGATGTGGAATAAATTGCTTTCAGAAAATCATAAAAAGCAGCACACCCCCTTTAAAAGCGCATGATAGCAGCGATCATTTGAGAATTCAGGGGGCAGGCTAACAGAGATACTTTCAGAAAGGGCAGGCCGCAGAGATCATTTAGGAGTTTGAGAGGGCAGGCTGGCAGAGTTCGCTTTGGAAAGATAAGGGCAAGCTAGCAGAGATTTCCTAGGAAATGGTAGGCTAGCAGCGAACATTTTGGAAATATAGGAGCAGACTGCCAGAAATCCTTGGGGAATTTGAAGGCATGCTAGCCAAGATTCTTCTGGAATAGTAAGGGCAGGTTAGCAGCGGTCATTTTGGGCATTGGAGGGGCAGGCTAGCAGAGTCCATTTGAGACCAAGGTCCAACGCCCCCAGAGACCAAAAATGCAGAATCGAAGAGGGGTTTTTGCGGAACTTTTCGTGGCTCAACTTGCGGTATATAAAACCCCGGGTTCAGCCAGAGTTCCGACGTTTTCTCAAAAAATGTTTTCCATCTACTTATTCTGGGTGTTGATTGTTGGGCTGGCGGTGGAGGGGTAGGTGTACGGTAGCCTCATCGTTTTTAAAAGCTTCAAAAAATGATGGCGGGCTAGCAAAGATTTTTTAGAAAAGGGCAGGCTAGCAGAGATTCCTTAGGAAATGGCAGGCCAGCAGAGATCATTTGCGCCAAAAATTATGCAATTTCAGCGAGGCCTGCACCCATAATTCGGAATGCACGCTGGATTGTGTGAACGGGCGCTGCCAGCCGTCAGTCGACAAACGCGAGGCTCCGTTCAACAGGTGAGTGCTAGCCAACTGTCCCACCACCTTTAATGGCAGGCGAATTGCAGAGTTCATTTGGGAATTAAAGGCGCAGGATAGCAAAGAACACTTGGGAACCTAGGAGGGCAGACTAGCAGAGATCGTTTAGGAAAAGGCAGGCGAGCAGGGATTCTTTAGGAAAAACCAGAATAGCAAAGATCGTTTAAAAAGATCAAAAACCAAGGCGGTTTCTACAAAGAACCCAAGGGTCAAAATATTGCTCATTCAAATGTATGCAGGATTTCAGCGTGGGCGTTTTGAGCTTAAAAGCGAGCCGACACCCCGTTTCTTAGAATTCGCCGAAATGTTCCGTTTTTTCCTGTTTACAGTTCTATTCGTCGCTCTGGTATCCGCAAAGTAAGTGTGGGGCATGCTAGCAAAGATTCCTAGAGGAATTGGAAGCGCAGGCTAGCAGAGATTCTTTAGGAAAATTGGAGGGGCAGGCTAGCAAATGCCGTTTAGGGGCGGTCCGTTCATCTGCAATGAAGACGCCGAGTGCAAGGGAGGTGATAAGTGCGTCAACGGCGAATGCGAGATCCACATCCCGGCCAATTCACAAAAATTGCTCATCCGCCCAACCGGCTACAGGGTAAGTCGGAACTCCTCGAAAAACCTCAATTTTCAGGAGCCGTGCAAGGGGAGCAACGGAAAGATCACCTTCTGCCTGCCGCCCCAGCATTGTAATCAGGGCAAGGGAGTGTGCGCTTGATGGAAATGCGGAATAAACATTGAGATCTATGAAAATGTGAAGTAAGCAGTTAAGCCGAAGCCTAAGCCTAAGTCATATCACAAGCCTAAGCCTCCTAAGCCTGAGCCTAAGCATAATCTAAGAAGAAAGTCTAATTTTGAGCCTAAGTCCAAGCCTAAGCACTGGCGAAGCCCCAGTCTATCTACGCCTCCCTAACCGCAAACCTAAGCCTAAGCCTAAGCTTAAGCTCGAGCCTCAGCCTACGCATAAGCCCAAGCCTCTGCCTATGCCTATGCCGACCTCTCCCATTCACTCTCTCTCTCACTCTCTCCTCGCTCTCTCTTACTCTCGCTCTCTCTCTCTCTCTTTCTCTCTTCCTCTCTCTCTCTCTCTCTCAACCCTCAACCACTGTATAAAATTTGAATGTCAAACGGCCAGACACCCGCCTGCCCGTTTTTTATTAAAAAAACAACTAAGAATACCCAAAATCGTATCAGCTGACGTTGTACAACCGAGGATTCCGTGTATAAAAGGGAGCATATATATACCGTAGTCCAAAAATCCGACTAGCTGAAGATGCGGAACGTCATCATCTGCCTGCTATTCGCTGGACTGGCTGCTGTGGCAATGGGGTACGGTAGGAGAAGCCTAAGCCCAAGCCTAAGACTAAGCTAAGCCTAAGCTAAGCCTGAAACTTAGCCTAAGCTAAGCTTAAGCCTAAGCCTAACCTAAGTAAAGTGGTCGGGGACCACTCCTAAGCCTAAGCTAAAGACTTGGCGCATAAGTCTAATCCTAAGCCTAGGCCTACCCCAAGCCTAAAGTAAGCATAAGTCTAAGCCCCGGATCTTCAGGAAGGCTTGCGACTTTGACTACCAATGCCCGAAGAACTTCTTCTGTGCGCATCAGACATGCTACCGGCTTCCACCAGTAAGTTCGTTGCGGCCATAAAAACCCTTACTTCTAAGAAAAATTTACGGCAGGGAAGCATCAAATAAATAAAAATTGCAGCCGTCGTCGACGACGACGACTCGCGGCACCTGGCGGCCCACTAGGCCTTATCCACCGACGCGCCTCTACCCGGGAGGTCGAGCCACTTCCCAGCGACCCTAACCGCCGTCAGAGAGATACACGCCGTGGTGATAGTAATAAAGAATGGCCTAAAATACAACTAGAAGAAAGCAAGTCACGTGTAAGCCTAAACCTAAACCTAAGAAAAGCCTAAGCATAAGCCTGAGCCAAGCCTAAGCCTACGCCTACGCCTAAGGCCAGGCATAAGCCCAAGCCTAGCCTAAGCCTAAGCCTATGCCTAAGCCCAAGCATAAGTCCAAGCCTAAGCCTAAGCCTAAGCCTAAGCCCAAGCATAAGTCCAAGCCTAAGCCTAAGCCTAAGCCAAAGCCTATGCCTAAGCCCAAGCATAAGTCCAAGCCTAAGCCTAAGCCTATGCCTAAGCCCAAGCATAAGTCCCAGCCTAAGCCTAAGCCTAAGCCTAAGCCTATGCCTAAGCCCAAGCATAAGTCCAAGCCTAAGCCTAAGCCTAGCCTAAGCCCAAGCATAAGTCCAAGCCTAAGCCTAAGCCAAAGCCTATGCCTAAGCCCAAGCATAAGTCCAAGCCTAAGCCTAAGCCTAAGCCTAAGCCTATGCCTAAGCCCAAGCATAAGTCCAAGCCTAAGCCTAAGCCTAAGCCTAAGCCTATGCCTAAGCCCAAGCATAAGTCCAAGCCTAAGCCTAAGCCTATGCCTAAGCCCAAGCATAAGTCCAAGCCTAAGCCTAAGCCTATGCCTAAGCCCAAGCATAAGTCCAAGCCTACGCCTAAGCCAAAGCCTATGCCTAAGCCCAAGCATAAGTCCAAGCCTAAGCCTAAGCCTAAGCCTAAGCCTATGCCTAAGCCCAAGCATAAGTCCAAGCCTAAGCCTAAGCCTAAGCCTAAGCCTATGCCTAAGCCCAAGCATAAGTCCAAGCCTAAGCCTAAGCCTATGCCTAAGCCCAAGCATAAGTCCAAGCCTAAGCCTAAGCCTATGCCTAAGCCCAAGCATAAGTCCAAGCCTAAGCCTAAGCCTATGCCTAAGCCCAAGCATAAGTCCAAGCCTAAGCCTAAGCCTAAGCCTAACACATAGGCAGGCTAGGCAGGCTAGCAGAGAACCTTTCGGACCCTAGTCAAGAGGAAAGCAGGCAGCGAGCAGAGATTCTTTAAGCTCTAGGCATGTGTGGGACAAGGCAAGTTAGCAGAGATTCTGTGGGATTTTCTCTAAAACTACAAGCTAGCAGAGATCATTTCGGATCGCTGTCGGAGGGAAAATGGCAGGCTAGCAGAGGTTCTTTAAGCACAGCGGAAATTGCTGAAAAAGTCATAAAATGCAAAATATACGATTTTTAAGATACCATTATCCTCGTATCTCTACCGTAATCAAAGTCCCAAAAATTTCATTCATTTCTCAGCTACCATAAACCGTTGGCAACTAAAATCCCCGCATTTTTCTAGGTCTAATTTTGGCGCCTATAGTCTGGCATTCTCACAAGCCGAGCGGGAAAGCAATTTTGGCGATTCCCCCGCGAGTCTACGGTATAAAATTTGAATTTTAAGAAGGATTTTCGCGACTTTGATTAAAAAATGGTTAAAAATACCGAAAAGCGTGATGGCTGACGTGGTATAAGGAGAATATTGCCTATAAAAGGGCCAGCTTTCTACCGTATTCATAAAATCGGAAGATGCGGAGCGCCGTCTGTTGCGTGTTATTTGCTGGGCTGGCCGCTGTGGCGATGGGGTACGGTAGGGGAAGCCTAAGCCAAAGCCCAAGCCTGCGCCTAACTTATGCCTAAGTTTAAGTCTAAACCTACCCTAAACCTATGCCGAACTCTAAGCAACAGCCTAAGGAAAGCCGAAGCCAAATCCTAAGCCTATGCCGGAGGCTAAGCCTAAGCCTAAGCCTAAGCCTAAGCCTAAGCCTAAGCCTAAGCCTAAGCCGAAACCTATGCCTGAGTCTAAGCCTACGCAGAAGCCTAAGCCTTTGCCTAATCCTAAGCCTATGCTTGATGCTAAGCTAAGCCTACGCCTAAGCCTACGCCCTAAGCCTAAGCCCCCTAAGCCTAAGCCTAAGCCTAAACCTAAGCCTATACCTAAGCCTAACAACAAAAAAATTCTAGCCGTTGCGTCAAAACCAGGGACTGCCCATCCGGCTACTACTGCGCCAAGAACACGTGCTTCAAGGTAAGCCGTTTCGGCATTGGGGATTGTCGGCATTTCGGCTGTCGGGATTATGGCCTGAATTTCAGAACGATCCAGACCCTGAGCCTCCGATTCGGACTAGCACGCCACGGTATCCGGCATCCAGCAGCTGGACCGATCGGCCACACTATGGCACCACCGGATGGCCAAAAGTTTCTACGCCGCGACGACCGGAATACACCACCAACAGGTATGGGGTACACACCAACAGGTTTTAAAAATGTCGAAAATGTGGAATTTTTGAGAATTCCCAAATTTCGAGCTGCTATCATAATTTTGAAATTCCATAATGTCGAAAATAATAATGTCGAAATTGAGAATGTCGGCATTTTTCTCGCATAGAATTCGGGGGGTTTTCCCGGAAAATTATCGTATCTAAATTTCGGCATTCTGAATTACGACATTACGAAATTTCGATATTATGGTTTTCGACATTTTGAAAGAAACCCATTTATCATAGATTTCCAGATTTAAATTTAAAAAATCCAAATTTTCGCAAAAGCCATTCTAAATTTCTTTCGAAATCCCGATTGTTCAGTGGCGAAAAAAATGACGGTTCTGGTTCGTTAGCGGGGGGGTTTTGCCAATTCTGTTGTTGTTTTTTATTGTTTTTAAAGCAACCAAAAAATCAAGTCAAAAATATATACAGGCCAAATGCCGTCGAATACACGATGCCTAACACCCGCCCGGAACCACCGAGGACCCCGCCAACGGAAGTCTACGAGGGCAGCACCTGGTCCCCCACCCATCCCCCCAGGAAACTCGCCGCCAATTCACCGTGAGTTCTAGATAAATTAAATTGTCAGCTCCTTTAATGGGAGCATGACAGCCAGCAAGAGCTCCTTTGCGCGAGCAAGCTAGCAGCGATCATTTGGGAGCTGACCTTAAGGGAGCATGACATAAAACAAAAGCTCCCTGGCTCCAGCAAGCTAGCAGCGACCATTTGGGAATCGACTTAAAGGGAGCATGACAGCTAGCAAGAGCTCTCGGGTTCGAGAAAGCTAGCAGCGATCATTTGGGAGCTGATCTCAAGGGAGCGCGACAGGGAGAAAGAGCTCCTCGTATGCCAAGAACTGGGGCAAGCTAGCAGCGATGATTTGGGAGCTGACCTTAAGGCAGCGTGACAGGTAGAAAAGCACGCCGGCTCGAGCAAGCTAGCAGCGATCATTTAGGAATTGTTTTAAAGGGAGCGTGACAGCAAATTTGAACCACAGTATGCCAAAAACTGGGCAGGCTAGCAGCCATCATTTGGGAGCTGACCTAAAGGGAGCATGCCAGCTAGCAAGAGCTCCCTGGCTCGACGAGGCTAGCAGCGATCATTTAGGAATTGCCTTTAAAGCGAGCGTGACAGCCTGAAAAAGCTGTAAAATCCCATTTACAGTACGGAGATCAAGTGTACGGTACGCACAGACTGCCCTGATGGCTACCTTTGCGTCAACAATGTCTGCATCGCCAACCCGAACGGTGGAACGCGCCTCAAGTAGGCAAGCCGGTTCTAGTTCGTTAGCGGGGGGGGGTTAAATTTTTGTTTTCATCCCGACCCTCATAAAAATTGGCTGGTTTTACAGCGTTTTTACTGGTTCCAAATAACTAAAAAGTTATAAATTCGTTTTTATCAAAAATCGCATTTTTAAAGTTTAACTACACACAGCTTTTAAACCTAAAAATGGGCACAATGTTATAAAAATAACCGATTTATCATTTTTTGAAGTCTAGCAGAACATAGGCAAATGTTATTTTCTTCCCCCGCTAATGCACCAGTACCGGAGGAGAGAAAACAGACCGCAAAAAATGCGTTGCAATCCCTTTAGGCGACAGTGGACGTGCAAGGTGCATGGAGATTGCGGGGAGCGTGAGAGATGTTCCGGTGGTCGATGTGTCAGCATGATAGATCAGTATGTTAGGGCAAGCTAGCAGAAAATCTTTGAGGAATTGAAGGAAGGCTAGCACAGGTCATTTAACAAGGGAAGAGCAAGCTAGCAGAGTTTCTTTAGGAAAGAGCAGGCTAGCAGAGATTGTTTAGGAAATGACGGCTAGCAGAGATTCTTTGAGGAATTGAAGGGAAGGCTGCAGGTTGCAAGGGAAGAGCAAGCTAGCAGAGTTTCTTTAGGAAAAGGGCAGGCTAGCAGAGTTTCTTTAGGAAAAGGGCAGGCTAGCAGCGTTTCTTTAAGAAAAGGGCAGGCTAGCAGAGTTTCTTTAAGAAAAGGGCAGGTTAGCAGAGATTCTTTGAGGAATTGAAGGGAAGGCTAGCAGAGCTCATTTAGGAAAGACAGGCTAGCAGATTTTCCTTAGGAAAGGGCAGGATAGCAGAGGTCATTCGAGACATGAGACGGCAAGCTAGCAGTGACCACTAGGAATCAATTTGCGTAATAATCTACCCATGTAGCCCCTTCCCCGATCAGCCGCATTGGGTGTGCGCGTCGGACAGCGACTGCAACCCGGGCGACTTTTGCGCTGGTGGCCAATGCCAAGCCCTCGATTATGACGACAAGTTGAACAAGGAGTGAGTTTAAGCCTAAAAAACCGCCTCAAAAACAGAAAAATGAGGCAGGTTAGCAGAGGAAATTCGGGAATTCTCGCAAAAAAATGTTTCAGAAGCCGCGAGGGCCGCAAGAAGCGCCAAGGCGGGCCGATATAGTGCCGGGGCACTATATCGGTCGGCGTCAAGTCACTGTAAGTCCAGAAGATGAGGCAAAAATATTGAGATGGAGGCAAGCTAGCAGTGAATCTTTAGGGCAGGGAAGTTAAGCCTAAGTCTGAGCCTAAACCTAAGCCGAAAAGTAAAATTTAAGCGATGCTCGGAGGAGGACCCATGCCCGACCGGCTACTTCTGCGAGTACGACCTGTGCAGCCCCATCGAGTAGAAGATCGAACCGAAATAAAGCAAATTGTTACGGTAGCTATATAAGTTTGAACCCCAAGGACCCCAAATCCCAAAAAGCAAAAAGAATTGCGTCGGCCGGGAATCGAACCCGGGTCGCCCGCGTGGCAGGCGAGCATTCTACCACTGAACCACCGACGCGCTGGGGGTTGGGAGAGGGGACGGGGATATGAAGGGTAGGTGGGCGCGACCCCGGCGAAAATCGGCAAGGTGAGAGGTACGTTACGCTCCAAATTGCAGAGCAAGCCTACAGACTACAAAATGGCGCACAAACTATAAAATAAACGCACCTGGTCCTTCCGCTGCTCGTAGAATTCCCAGGCGGCGGCTGTCGACGGCGGCGCGTCGATGAGGTCCACCGAGAAGTCGAGCGGCCGATCCAGAGGCGTGGCTACTAAAAAAGCCTTTTCGAGCGTTTTTTTCAAGCTTTTCAGGTCGCTTTAAAGCTTTGAAGCACAGCTAAACTTGTAGAAAGCTTCATTGAAGCCGATCGGTCTTAAAGACTTAAAAAACTCAAGTAAAGTGGGCTCTTTCGCATTATTGGGGAGCGGAGAACAACTTTTTGGAGCCAATTTCTCGAATATAAATTCAGGAAGTGTTTCTAAACTGCCTTTTACTATGCCTAAGCTTACAACGTTAAAAATTTGGCTTCAAATACAAAAATATCGAGATTCTTCGAGCAAAAATTCCGAAGTTTAGGCGAAAATTTCGGCTTTTAATGCTTTTGAAATTTTTAGAACTTTTCTGGTTGAAATACAATTATAATTTACTAAAAACGCTAATAAAATGATTGCTATTAAGTTATTAGGCCTTTATTAATGAAAAAAATAAAAAATCTATTCCAATCTAATCTAATATATCAAAAATCCCCCTGCCCCCCGAAAATGCGAAAGCTCCCAACTTTCGGTTTTAAACAGCCGCAAAAAAAACTTTAGAATTTTAGACAATTATCGCTTTGAGAAAAATTTTTGTGATACTCACGCGACTCGTCGAGCGAAAGCCGCTTCAGCGCCGTCAGCTCGTGGGGCGGCGCCGTGGCGTTTCGGCAGTTTGTCGGCCCGTTTTCACTGCAAAATTCGTGGTATAAGAGCAGGATAAGCGAAACTCACATTTGGGCGAGCACCGAGTCGGCCACCAGCCCGCGCAGCTCGTTCGCCAGCGTGTAGTTGCCACTGAAACGGGTTTTCTAACTTGCAAAAACTTTTAAAAAGTTAAAAACTAATTAATCTGAAGGCTTTTCCAAAACTCTTAAAAAACCCAAAAGCATTTTCCAAAGGTTAAAAAATCGTGTTAGATTATTATTATTAGTAGAATATTGTGCGCTTTGATAGCTAAGAAAGTCAATTAGCGTAAATAAAAAGAAACAGCGGGTTAAAATCGGCGAAATTAACGTCTAGCCCTCGGCGTTATTCCGAATTTCCTCAAAAAATACGCACCACTCCATCAGCGCCAAGTAGAAGGCGTCGAAGGCGTGGTGGCCGCGCTGCTTCACGCGATTCACGAGGCCCCGGCCGTTTTTCGCGCCGTTTGCGTCCTAAATTGAGGCGTAAAAGGTGGATTTGGCTTTTCCAGCTCACCAGAAACTCCTCGGCCGTGTTCCCGTTGAAGACGCCGGCGGCGAGCAGGCAGGACGCGATCTGAAAATCATGTGTGCATATTATTTTCGTTTAGTTCCGGGTGATTCTCGAATTCAAGGCCGCTCAAACTGGTAAAAAGTTGGCCGCGGTTAAGTAACAGGTGAGTAATTTTCGAAAATCCTATTGCCGGTTTAAATTTTAGAGTTTTGCTAGTCTCTGTTCACGAGGCCTAAAAAAATCCTGAAAACTTCAAATTCTGGACCAATCATCTATATTTTTGACCAAAAACCGACAAACAAAATTTTTCGGAAATTTCATTAATATGTTCTGCACTTCCCATACCTAAAAACGGTGTAAAAACGCGAAAAATGGCCAAGCCGGCTACCCCCCCCCCTTGCTAAAAGCCCGCCAAATCGTCAGATGGCAAGGAGAAAGCTACAGGAGCCATAAAAACGAAAAACACCTACCACTCGCACATCTGCAGCCTCCAAGCGATCGCCGATCGGCGTCAGTGCGTTCCGCCGCTCGGGCCCCATCATTTGTCGGGTCGAGCGGACCGGTTGCATCCTTTAAGGGTATACTAAAAATGGCATTAACGGTTCTGCCTATCAAAATATTAGAAAACACAACAACGGGAATGGTCAACAAACGTTGGCTAAAATATACAAAAAACAGTAAAGATTTTTCGACAAAAAATCGCCGATTTTCGGCCAAATTTCAGCTAGAATTTTTTTATTGCTTTTCAACCTGGAAACCAGTTAAACTCAGCTAAAATGCTATTAAATCAGTAAATTAAGTAAAAGTATAAATATTTAGCAAAATCTATTTTACGTATAAAACAACCAAAATAATTAAAAAGCATTGCTTAAAAATTTTTCCAAAAAATGGGCGATTTCTGCTTGAAAAATCTATATTTTTCGATTTTTGTATTGTTTTCTACCTGAAATTACTAAAATGGAAAAGTCCGGCAAAAGAATCGCAAAATATTGGAAAACACAAAACCGGACAATCTAGTAAGACCTGCTGCGCGCAACATGTCCCCGCAGGTGTTCCCACGCGCGTCTGCTTTGTGCCCGTGCGCTACGCCTAATTCGGGCAGTCCCCTGTATAATGATGCGGAGGAAAGGATGGCTATTGCTTTGTCCCCCCCCGTTAAAGGACTAGATGGTTGGGACCAGATGGGCCCAATTACCCCCAGCGGCAGTGTGTGACCTTCAAAACGCGCGCGCGCGGCACATCGACGCGACACTTCAAGCTGACAGCCTACGCGCCGCATAAACAGTTTATAATTTGCACAAATGGCCCGAAGAAGAAGGCGAAGGACCTGAATTAAAATACTAATATAACTAACTTTTTGTAAATGTCTAGAAATGGCTAGTAACTTAGTAGAAAATATTTTAATGCGTTTTTAGACGTTAATAACTATGGTCCGACCAGAAAAACTATCTAAAAACTTTTATAAAGTCAACACTTTGGTCAAAAATCGCGCATTTTTGAACTTTTTTTTAAAAACCTTCAAGAAAGTTTTGAAAAATCCACGTGTTATAAGCGAATGCCAAAATCGGCCCGTTCAAAACGATTTTCGCGAGGTTCACCATCCTTCAGCGGTTTTTGAAGCTAACAGGCTACCTTGCAGAATTTGAAGCCCTATAGAATGAGGTATATCACATACTAAAACTCCCTCGACACCCTACAAATTAGGGCTCACCCTGGGCAAAAACCAAAACCGACGATGCGCACGACGCCGCGAAATCGTTGAAAGTATCGCCTTTACAATCTCCGCCCACGTGAAATGTCAAGAATCCGACTTATAATTCCACATGAACCCTGGGGCGCACCTCCACCTTATCCCGTAGCTTCCATTCAAAAGGCCAATAAAAGTTAAAAATTTATTTCTCGATAAAACACGAAATGAAGGGGAGGGGAACACTACGAAAAGACAATAAGATAGCGGGGGGTACAGCTAGAAGACAATAGCAGAACGGGGGGTACAACTAGGGAATAAGAGAAAGGAGGTACAACTAGAAGGACACATGGTAAAAAAGTACACGGCATAGGGAATGTGGGGCAGGACAAAAATCTTGGTGCAATTCGGGTTGTCGCGTTCTTCTTACGCATCGCTGGTCGACGGGCGGGCCTCCTTCTTGCCGTAGAAGATGTCGTAGGCGTCGGCGCGGAAGGCGGCCTCGTTTTTCTAAAAGAAAAGAATTAGGATTCAATCGCGTTACCGGGGGAAGCACTTTTTTCTTTAAAGCAAGAGTCGAGAGTAGAGGATTTTTAAAGAAAAAAAGGTAAACATTCTACAAACCTTGTATTGGGCTTCACGGTCACGGGCGGCTCGGTAGTTCGCCCGCACCTCGGTGGCGTGGGCGATCAGTTTCTTGTCGTACTCGGCACGCTTCGCCATCTCAACCTTCAAACGAAGGACCCGCTCCTCCAGCTTGGCGATGTCGGGGCCGGGCTTGGCGTCAAACTGAAATAAAAACAGTTTTGTTGAATCCAAACAAGAAAAGGCCGTACAAAAATTCCCCCGATAATGAAAACGAACCAAATAAAAACATACCTTTGCTAGTCTCCGCCTGTAGGCCTCGCGCCTGGCTTCATCCTCAGCCCGGAGCATCTCGTCAACGCTGAGCGTCTCCTCCTTCTCGGGCTCCTTGCCGATGGAGCGCTGGCTGGCGCTGAGCATCGACCGGTCCTTTTGGGGTTTATTTTCTTTTTCTTGAGCTTCGACGTCGTGGGTGGTGTTGACAGTCGTCTCGACGACGAACTCGGGTACGTCCATCGGCTCTTCGTGCGTTGTGATTTCTTGAGTTTGCCGGACCGGGAGGGTGTCGTTGCACACGGTGACGTTCCTGGCGTCAGTCTGGTTGTCGTCAAAGAGCCGGCTCATGTTGATTGCGTTCACAGACTAAAAAATAAAATCATTTAATAGATTTAACCATTTCCTTTCCGATTCCGCGCGACAAGAGTCCAACAGTATCCAACTAACAAAATTGCGGAATTAGTAGCGCTTCGTACGTCGCGAAATTCACAAAAACTATTGCTTTGCGGAAAACAAAAATCTAATAAAAAATCAATTACCTCGGCCAGCTCCAACTGATCCCGCTCATCTTCTTCGTCGTCCCCGATCCGGGTCTCCACCTCGCGCTCCTTGCCAATTGAGGGCTGGCTGGTGCTGAGCATGGAGCGGTCGACGTCGGGCTTATCCTCTTTCTGTTCGGCATCGACGGCGGGCGTGATGTTGCCAGTCTTCCCGGCGATGGCCTCAGACACGTCCATGGTATTTTCGTCGGCCGGTGCGTCCTGTGCTTGTTGCGGCTGGATGGAGTCGTTGCGTAGGGTGGTGTCGACGGCCTTCGTCTGGCTACCGTCAAAGCAGCGGCTCCTCTTGTGCGGGACAGCCATCGGGGTGCCCTGGCTCGTCTTACTCGCGCTCATCGTCTAGAAAGATTTATATAGAGACAAATACGGTTATAAAAAGCACATCACCCAGAGTCACATTCATCTAGGGAAGAAATTAGCACCTGCGTCTCCCGAATTGGAGCTGATGGTACAAAAAGTACCTCCGTGGACTCGCTATCGTTTAGGACCATCGACACTTCCTCGTTCTCCTCGATCTTCGGCTGCGACCTCCCGTAAACCACCTCCGTGGTGGTATCACTGTCGTCGTGGAGCGTCGGCCCTTCGACGTTCCTCTGCATCTCGGGCTGCTAAAATTCCAAAAATATAGATTTTTCAACCAAACTTTGAATTTTTGAAAAATTTTCCAGCGTTTTCAGATAGTTTTATGACTAACATAAAGTTTGATTTTACCAAAAACATTCTGAAAATACCCTACAAAGCTACTAGGCTTTGCTCGATCCATAAAAAAACCTGTTTTCTCCTCCCGATACTGCGAAAGAACCCAAAATAGAAATCGAAAAACAAACCATGTGCAGATCCTCGTTGATGCTCATTTCCCCCGTATTGTTGTCCTTCTTGGGGGTCGCCTGGCGGTCCGTCCATAGCGCATCCGTTCGGTCGGCTCCATCGAAGCCGTCCCAGTCGTTCTTGTCGATGCCGCTCTCGACGGAGGTGATCTTGACGTGGGTGCGCTCGTAGGAGACGACGGTCTTCGGGGTGCCTTGACTCGATCGGCTTGTCACCGTCTAAAATAGCGGGCTTTAATGCAAAAGTTTTCACGGCATGCAAAATCGATCGCCATTTTTCGAAAAGGTGAAATCAAATCCAATACTTAAAAAATTATACCGTCTCGCTGATGCTCATGTCCATCGTCATATTGGCGCGCGTCGTTTTCTCGTGCTGGAACAAATCCATCGTCTTGTTGATGAACGACGAGTCGACGGGATCTTGTTCCTGGCTCCCAAAGAGCTGCGTGGTCTTGTCGATGACGGCGCCGTCAAAGTCGAGTTTCTTCGGCTGCCTCGCGCACGAGCTGTCGGCCGCCCCGAACAAGTATGCAGTCTTATCTAAAAACAAAAATTATCCAAGCAAGAAAGCGGCAACTCACTCATATCCGCAAAAGAGAGGTCCGTGGTGTTGTGGCCGGAGAACGAAGCCTGCGAGCTGTTCATGACGTCGGCACGAAGCTTGCCCTCCATCGGCATCGTGGTGTCGACGCTCATGTTGACAGAATCGTGGAAGAAGCGGAGCGAGGTTCCGGATTGTGGTGCTAGAAATCGCGAAAGCTTGAAAAAACCGCGAACATCGACTCACGCTGTAGGAAGATATTCGACGTCGCGTTGGCCGCCTCAGATTCGTTCAGGAAACGCTGCAGGTGCGATTGGTCCATCGATTCTTCGGCAGTCGAGGCGCCGAAGAGCTGCCGGGTGGTGTCGTCGCGGCTGGGCGTCGGCATCCCCGAGAGCGACATCTTCCTAAACAAGAAATTCTAGCAGAAAAAAAGCTACTCACGATCCATCCGTCGACGCCGAGATCTCGTTCAGCGCCTCCTTCTTGGGCGAGTCGATCATTTTGTCGTCGACTTTGTCGTAATGCCTGAAAAAAAAGAAAGATTGCCACCAAAGAAAAGCCAACATACTGCACAAACTTCTCGCGGTGGAAGGAGACGCGACGACGCCGGAAGTCCGTATTGTCGATATCATCCTGCGGCTCGGTGTGCGGTTGCTTCAAGATCTAAAGCAGAATCAGTCAGCTTACAAGTTTAAGCATACCGAGTTTCTACGCTTGGGTGGCATCGCGTTGTTGCCCTGGAAAGCGGATATTTTGCAGAGAACTGAGGAAGCTTCTGAGAAAATGAAGGAAGAACAGTGAAACAAAACTTTAACAGGTTATCTAAAACCTAACCAACTTTCGAACAGGGCCCCTTCGCGGGGTTCTGAGGATAGAATGGGGGTCTCGGGACGGGCCCCCGGCTCCCAAGTGGCGGAAAGTGGTGCGATAAAGCGGGCGCCGAGCCGCTATCCGTCGCCACGCCGAATTAACCAATCAAAATTTACAAATTTTAAACTTATTCCTAGAAGAAAGCTGAAAAAACGTTGCAATCAAATTCATAATTGTGGGGGAGGGAGGGCCAGTGGTCACATAAAAGTTTAAATCTCAAAAACGGCCAGAACTGAAAAAGTCGGAAAAAATGCCGTCGGTAAAACCTACCAATGCAAATGAAGCTCTAAGCACGCGCGTTATTAGAACTAAGTATGCCTATTTACGGACATCCGGAATTACGGACGCCACGTAGGTTTCGCCTCGAGAAATTGTTCGGGAGGCACTATCAATACTCGGAATTTTTGGGTACTTTATTTTTCACTTCTTTCTTTGCTTTTGTTCAAACCTGAAATTACCTTTTTTTTTAGAAGATGTCGTCGAGCGTCAAGGTGCTGCAGAACCTCTTCGACAACTACCAGAAGACGACGCCGCAAAAGCTGAAGATCGTCGACGCCTACATGTTCTACATCCTGCTCACCGGCATCTTTCAGGTATTTTTGTTTTGAGAGTTGGAAATGTTGCACGGTTCTGGTAATAGACATCGTTATCTGTACTTTGGTCCCAAGGTAAAGTATTTTACGTCTAGAAGCTACGTAATTATTATTATTCAAAGTTTACCTAACTACTTTTTTGCCTTACTAGCCGTCGACACCCTTTTTTAAAGATGAAGGTCCTTTTCAACTCAAAATTTAGTTCATCTACTGTGTGCTCGTCGGCACGTTCCCGTTCAACGCCTTCCTCTCCGGCTTCATCTCCACGGTCGCCTCGTTCGTGCTGGCTGGTGGGTGACGTTTTATTGTTTCCGGCTCGTCGCAGTTTTGACATAATTTTGGATAGTTGTCAATTCAGTCATCTATTTTGGCGCTTATCTTCAAAAACAATATTGCCATATTGTTTTTATTACATTTCCCGAATATTATTTTCATTTTCAGCCTGTCTCCGAATCCAGGTGAACGAGGAGAACAAGGAGGAGTTCGCCCATTTATCGCCGGAACGCGCGTTCGGCGACTTCATCTTTGCCCACGTCGTCCTCCATCTCGTCGTCACTAACTTCCTCGGCTGAACGCGTTTTTATCGCATTTTTTACATCTTGTGCCTCTGAACACTCCTTATTTATTCGCATTACCAAAGCGTAGACCCCGCCCTTGTTATTACTATCGGTTTCTCTGTGATATATTCCGGGATCTTGCTTTACGAACGTTTTCTTTGTGGGATCGTCACGTGTTCTTCATTCTTCTTGGGTTAATAAAGTCATTCGACAAGGAAATGGTCTTGTTTTTGAACTGGTTGAACCCCAGAACAATATTTGCCTCCTTGACTATTATTTCGTTTTTTTAGATGTTCGGGCTTGGCGATATTACACTTTTCTTTAGGATGTTCGGCATGCACATGCGCTCCGCGCCTCTCCTCAAGAAGGCGTTGACGAAACCAGCCTAGTGAGTTTTTTTTACCTTGGAATTATTTTTTCGCACTTTAATTATTCAAAAAATTTTCTTACCTTTTTAAAAAAGCGTTGTAAAAGTTGTTTTAGTTGGCGCACTTATGGGACCTACGGGGCGACGGCCTTCCTCCTCGCCGTCTACATCTGTGACTGGAAGGCGGTTGGACAGTACATCCCCCTCTGGAACAAGCGATACATGTGAGTTTTTAACGTTTATTCGTTTTGGTTATCGATAAACCTGCGTTTCTCATATTTGTCTAGCCCAGAAATTGTCTTACGACAACTTTTTCCACGTTTTGACAAATTTATCTGCTTCCGCGTCTCGCTAACCCACTCTTGCTCCGCCCCTTTACGCGCCTGTTTCAGTTCCGATGGCCTGAAGCAGTGCAACGACTCGTTCTTCGTCAGCGTGCCCCAGCCCCCCGCCGAGAAGTAGAGACAGGGAACTAGCCCTCCAAGTCAAGCCATCTATCCACGCCAATTCCCCTATCTTTTCTCTTGTGCACTGGTGTCGTCTAGGAGCCTAGGGCAGATGTATGATATCGTTTTTCGCGACGAATAAATCGGTGAAGTCGTTACCCCTCCCAATTGCATTTCAGGTTGGGAAAAGATCTTTCGTCGCGCAGAATGACGGGACATTGTATGTGATGTTCTTTCTGTAGGAACTAGATTCTATATGTGACTCATGCGCAAAGGGCAGCCTTACGAAATTGTTGTTATTTAGGGCAGGGCGGGGCTAGACTCTTTCCGGACCCGCGGACCCCGGGCGAGGGATCGGTGGTTGGGGTGGAGGGGCATGAGAAAGCCGGGGCCGGTTGCACTGAATGTTTTGCCCATTTCGACGATTCGGCGGTCCCTCATGCGCTCCTGTTCCCCGCCGTTTTTCACAATCATTTTTGGCAGGCGATGCACGTTATTGATTGTCAATTCGTTAGTTTAGTTGTTGGCGGCGAAAACGTGGTTTAGAGAGATAAATGAAGCTTTTCTTTTATAGTTGCTCGATTTTCGTCGAGAATAATGTTACGAAAGGTTTCATTTACAGACTAGCAATGAGAAATGCCTTTCTGGAACTGATATTTCGACGATTTGACTTTTCATCGGCTAAAACACGAGTTTTAGCGCGAAAAAGAAGCTTGATTCTTTAGTTTTCAAATTCCCATGAAAACAATGCTAGGAAAAACTTGGACAATCTCCATCTTAGGCTTTCGCGGCCTAAAAGAATTTTGGTGATGAAAATGCAGCTTTTCTTCGATAGGTTTTCTCAAGTTGCGCCGAAACTCAGGCTAGGAACGGTTCATTAACCTCCATTTACAGACTACCAATCCGCAATGCCTTTCTGGAGCTTCTCCCGCGAAAAGGACGGCGTCAACCGGGTGGACGAGCTGCTGTCGGAGGGCTATGCTTGCCTCGACCAGGCCCTCATCTACGATGAGGATGGCGATTATGTGAGTATTACATATTTATGATGCCCGCGGCAGGGTCAGGCAGTTTTTTGGAGCCTCAAAATGTATGCAAAACCGCCGATTTCACGATGATGAATTCAGGAAAACACCGTGTCGCTGTACGAGCGCGGGCTGAACCTGATCGAGGAGGCTGGAAAAGAAAAGGTAAAGCCAGATTTTACCCCCGGAATTCGTTCTTTAGAAAGCCCAAAAATCCGAGCTGTGGGGCACGATGATGGAGGCGAAGCCGAGCGTGGAGAATCGGTATTTTGAAGATTGTGGAAATTTATTTATTTACATTTAGTTTAAAAATGCTCAAGAAACAAGGGCCGAAAAATGTGCCGGCCGGTGGTCCTTCCCCGATGGATGCCAGCGTCAGCAAGGAGGTGGAAGCGAAGCGAGCCCAGGAGTTTTCGGAAAAGGTATCGCTTGCTTTTGGTGATAACCTTTGTAATAACCTTTCAGGACGGCTTCGTGCGCACGGATTCGATTCGAAAAAAGCTCGACACGGCCGGCGAGGAGGAGGCCGAGCTCGTCTACTTTTTGCCGGGCGGCGTCCAGCTGTTTACGATTGATGTGGGCGCTTTTCTCTTACAATCGAAACGCTTTTTTGTGTATTAATGGTATATTGCAATCGGGTAATGAAAGGAAAAGCTAAATTATGACGTTGTAGGGAGAAGAAACGGCCGCGCCCACCTATCCAACAGCTCTGGAGATTCTGCGTTTTGTTGGGGGATCGGCGAACACTACAACGAAGGCTTCGGCCTATATTCAAGTGAGATTCACCTATTATGCCTAATCTTGACTTTTTAGGTCGGCCCCTGGGTGTATCCGCTGATGAAGGACCAGACGCCGGTGCTGAAGAACGAATTCGGAGCCTACGTCGTCGCAAATCCTACCCCAGAGCAGCCAAGTGAGCGGTTTTTCAAGTAAAATGAATCTGGTTGCTTAAGATATGATGGTGGCCATCATGCTGCCCTCTGACCTTGACGAGAAGCTCGTGGAGGAGTTCGAGTACGTGCTGAAGGAGTACGCAGCGCTTGGCGCCCAGGAGGTAAAGACATTTCCGAATAGCTAATCTGTTTTTAGGTGAAAGACGCGCTGACGAAGGAGGAGCAGCAGCGCCTCAGCGAGCGCATCGCCAATTTGCTAGTGAAAAGTGGGGTTTGGTGATTTTTTTGGGGAGCTGGTGCATTAGCGGAGGGGGTTAAATTTACCATCTTCTGTAGGTGCCTTATAATGAAAAATAGAAACGATTTTAATAAATTTTCCGCCTGACTTTTCATTACTATGAGCTTAGGTCGAATAAAGGAAGTCCCCCCCCCGCTAATGCACCAGAGCCATTTATCACAAGTAAAGTTCTAGTAGACATCATAATCTGTCCTACTGCCCGGAAAACAACTAGTCTAAATTACCCCTTTGCCCTCTCCGTCCCCATGTACTTTGCGGTAAACAAGCTTTTCAGCCGGGGAGCAGATCGCCTGGGGAGTGCACGCAACTACGGCCCGTGTAGCCAGTGAAGTGGAAAAGAAGAATGTGCAGTGAGTTTTTAATGGTGTAGTATCAAAATGTAATGAATTAATATGATTCAAAATTAAATTCAGATACCGCTCCGGGCGTCAGCCGACCGAAAACCCGCTCAACATCTCGCCGGCCATCAAGTCGAGCGTCGTCTACATGCACAAGGGCGGCAAGGTGGTCGCCAAGTGCACGCGATATTTGCGTGAGTTAAATTTTTCATGACCTCAATTGAAAACACATTTTAGTCGACAAAATCGGAGACATGGGCGTGTCGGTGGGCCGTTCGATCGCTTCCGGGGCCCGGGACCGATTTGGTGAGGGAAAGGTACGGTTTTTTTGAACTATAAAACAAAATTTAATGATTTAGACGGGCGGCATGGTGACGGGGACGATCACGGTGCTCGGCGGCGGCATCACCAGCGTGTCGACGGTGTGGATCGCGCTGGAGAGCGCGAGCAAGAACCTGTGCAAGTCGATCGCCAACGAGACGGTGGAGAACGTCAGGGTTCAGTACGTTTTTTGAAGTGAACTCTCCTTGAAAATCGATTTTTGGTGTAGAGCCGATTTTTCGACCAGGTTTCGAGTTTTGATCAAAATTGCGACTTTTTCAACATTTTTTGAGAGTTTTAAATGGTTTTTCTAGTGGAAATATCGTTGTAGCTTATTAAAAACGCTATGAAAATACTGTCTATTCACTTACTAAGCATTTATAGGCTTATACATAGGCTATAAATAAGAAGGTTAGCCCCCCCTCCCCCCGGAATTGCGAAAGAACCAAATCCTAATACTCCAAAAATCCGACGAGACAAAGACGATTTCCGGGGGCAAGATCGACGCTTTTTGTCGGGGATAGCAAGCGCTTGCCCGGGCTAGCCAGCCCCGCCCTCCCCACCCGAGATATCGGCTTCTCCCCGCGGCTTCTCCCAGCGCGTCGGTGGTTCAGTGGTAGAATGCTCGCCTGCCACGCGGGCGACCCGGGTTCGATTCCCGGCCGACGCAATTCTTTTTGCTTTTTCAAGCCGGGGCAGCTTTATCATTGTTTTTTTCAGCTACGGAGATGAAGCCGCGCAGACGACGCACCACGGCCTTCACGCCGCCGGGCACACCGGGCTTGCCGCTTTCCAGCTGTGGGATTTGGGACCGAGGTAAAGAATACGTAATAAGTGTAGTTACGTGATTTTAGATCCGTTGCCGGGCGTATGGCACGAAAAGCCGGGCTCCAAGTGCTCAGCGACCTGCACAAGAAGCGCACCGGCCAGGAGCTGATCAACGAGACGAAGCGCGCCCTGCATCCCGAGATGGCCGAGAAGATCAAGGCCTAATTTTTCTGTTGTTTCGATAGCATTTTTCATTGAAGCGATTGTTTCTATTAAAAATGTAGTCCATTTCCCCATTCCCACACTCGCTTGTCTTGCCCAGAAATTGTACAAGATTCTTTTCAACCCGGTGTTTTTGCGATACCAAAAAATAAGTTACAAACTGGTCCCGATTTCGCGTTTGCTTCGCTACTGTTGTGATTTGTATCTATTGCCCTTTTCAACGAGATTAATTCTGGTAATGTAAGAATAAAGTTTTTGGAGGATTTATTTGTAAACACGAAAGCATTAGTATGATGTGCAAGGGTGAATATCTAAAGGTTTTCCAAAGAAAAATGTAGAAGTCCGTTTTCTAGATAGGTATCGACTAGCCATGACGTTACGAAAGGATAAACGGAAGCGAAGGTACTTTTTGAGGCCAATTCAGAAATGTCGCCCGATTCGCGCGCTTTGTAATTCTTTATTTAGAGGTATCATAAGACTGGAGAAATAGCTCTTTTACCTATAAAACATACTATAATACCTTTTAATGCTATTTAGGTTGTATTATTACATAGTTTAACGTAATTATTACTATACCTATAGTAACTTAGCAAATGGTACAGTATTTTCTGGTTAATTCTAACATTTATTTTTTTTGTTTTTAGAAGAAGCTCCGTCTCGGAAAGTCAACACGCAGACGAAAAGTTCAGCCCGCAATCAGATGACCGCTTCAGCAAGGTGTTCGATGAGGACGATGATGAGGCAGCTCCATCCCGCCAAGAAAACGAGCCAGACGTCGCTGAGTCAAGCCGGAAGTGAAGGAGGAGATTGAGGACGATGAGGACTTTGTCGACCCTGAGGTAAACGTTGGTATCTATTTTTATGACGGTTTCTTCAGCGAAAGCAACACAAATCGGGCGTCGTCTACTTTTCCGTCATTCCGCCCGGGTTCAACGTGGCCAAGTTGACGGACGAGATGAACATGTACTCGAAGGGATGCGTGGGCCGGATTTATTTGGTGGTGAGTTTGTTGTAAACTGTTTTTCGCTATTCCTGAACGATTTTAGCTTAAAAAAAATCATTTTTTACCCAAATTGGTTAGATTTACGATTTTATCAACACTTCTCAGCTTTTTTTAAAGTTTTTGTGCTTAAAATATCGCTAAGAATTGGCAAAAATCAGATACACTTTTATTTTTAGCCCACAAGAGCCTCCGAAAAGTTCAAGACTCGTATTGGCCCCCGAAAACAACGATCGCGGCAGCAAGAAGAAGCGCCACCTCACCTACAAGGAGGGATGGGTGGAATTTTCACGGAAAAGCGTGGCGAAGCGATTGGCGGTTCGTTGAGCGTTCGAAAATAATAATAATGTGCTTTAGAAATCGCTAAATGGCGTAGAAGTGCAGGTGAAGGCCAAGCATCCAGCGTCGGGCACCATGTGGCTTTGCAAGTACCTTCCGGGTTTCAAGTGGATTCATCTGATGGAGCAGATGGATTACGAGAGGAAGGTGGGTATTTTAGAAAGTTTAAACTTATAAAGTTCTTTCTATACGTTGGTTCTTTCGCATTATCGGGGGGTGACAACTTTTTTCCTTCGTTTTGGGCTTTTTTGAGTTTTTAAACATAACAATAGCGGAAGTGTTTCTAAACGGTTTTTGCAATGCCTAAACATGAAAAATTTACAACTTTTAACGAAAATAGGAAAGATATCGGTTTTTCGAACGAAAATGGCTGACTTTTTGACCAAATTTTTAGGTTTTTAGCGAGTTTTTCTAGTTGAAATATCGTTTTGTTTTACTAAAAACATTAATAAAACATTTCCTTTTAGTTATTAGGTATTTCTAGACCTATGTAAATACTTCGGTCCCTCCGTTAATGCTAAAGAACCGACTTAAGTATACTCTATACAAAAAATTTTTCGAGCCCCCGATAATACAAAAGCACCTACGTTTTTAATTTTTGAATTTTTAAGATAATTTTCTATTTCCAGGTGTCGATGCAACGGATGAAGGTCGAAATCACGCAAGCCAAGAAGGTCGCCGAGCACTTTGCCACCCAAGTCGAGAAGGGCGCCCATCTGCGCAAGCTCGAGGAGAAGGTGCTGAAGAAGGGCGGCCTCTGGGAGAAGCACCAGCGCGACATCGAGCAGCGGAAGAGCCGCGCCGGCAAGAAGAAGCCCAAGACGGACCGCCAGGCCGCCAAGGACGAGGACGATTTGATGAAGCTGATCTACGCCGACTAGGCGGTTTTTTTCGTGTGTTGGTTAATTGTTTTACAATGTTGTTATTTCTTGTTCCTGGTTGACGTTTAGGGATAAAGTTTGCATGGAAACGTGATGAAATGCCTCGTTTATCACCAGATATACCAGACCAAGAATTCGACGACAATGGGACGCTATCAATCAGATGTGAAAGAAAAACTGGATATGCTTTTTGCGGTTAAAAAGTTGATGCTGCGGGGTGGGGCGTTGAGCGCGGCGGACGGTGCTGCTCACTTCTGCTCGATGTTCGGGACTTGGAGGCGCTCTGGAAATGATGATGTCTTTTAGGGTTAGAGCAGCATTCGAAGTTTTCAAAAGCCCTCAAAGACTGACGAAGCGTGTCGGTGGGGAACGTCTTCAGGACGATCACCTTCTCGCCGATCGTCAGCTTCTCGTTGATGCGGTAGAGCGGGCGCATCACCTGGAAGTCATGAAAGATACGTTCGAAAAGACTTTTCTTACTTTAGCACTATAAAACTTACTTCGGGAAATTTTTATACCGACATTTTTAACTCGTCAGTCACCCGCATCCCCAACCTATTGTATCTCGGCTCCACGCTGTGCTACCGGGTTGTAAAGTACACCAAAATACTAAGAAGACCAAGACGAACATTTTGGTATACTTTGCACTCCTGCAGCACACCGGGGAGCCGAGATACAAGGTCGTGGAGCAGTTCACGGTTCCCCTCGAGCCGTACCTATTGTATCTTGGCTTCCCGTTGTGCTACAGGGTTGTAAAAGATATCAAAATGTTCGTCTTGGTCTCTTGAGCATTTTGGTATATTTGTCACACCTGTAGATGAACAGGGAGCCCCCCGCTAACAGTCCAGAACCACCGAAAATCAGTGTTCACTAAAAACCTACCCCAAAGGCGGCCGCACAATAGTTGTGGTAGGCGATGCCGAAACCGATCAGCGAGAACACGGTGCCCACGGCCAACATGTAGATGTAGATGAGCTGCGCGCTCTCGAAAAGCTCGCCCGCCACGTTGATGTCGTCGCCTGCCTGGGAGATGAGTGAGTTTTAAGCTTTTCGAGCCTATACCGAGGAGCTCGAAGTTCGAGCTAGAGCCCTAAACGTATAAAAAGGAACTTACGGTGTTGCCGACCATTTTTGGAGGCGCCGCGCAGGGAGTGGTTTTTTTGAAGCTTTTGCTCTAGGTTTTGGGGCAGAAAAATTACTTCCGGTTATGTAGATTACCGACAAGTTCAAGATGGATTTAAAGCAGCGGCTCATACTCGTGAAAACCTGTAAAAACTTTTCTTATTTTCTTGACTTTTTCATAGTTTCGTGGTTTACTCCTTCGTCGCGTAGCTCAAAGCGGGCTTGCTCAGCTTCTTCCAGCATCGAATGGGGCTGAACTGTTAGCGGGGGGTTTCTGGAGGAAGGGAAACCACTTTTCTGTTTTTGAACCCAGACCTATTTTTTGATGATCAATTATGTATTTTTTATCGTGCTTTTCGTAGCTTTTTATTGCGATAAAGTATAAAAATATTTTAAAATTTGTAAAAATTCGAAAATTTGACCTTTTTTTTAGTCATTTTTCATACATTTTCAACCAAAGGCAAACATTTTCAAAAATTTCATTGGTTTTATATCGTTTTTATATCTAAAACTATGTAAAATGCTATAAAAATGGGCTATATTTTTTATAGGGCCGTAACGAATCTCAGGAAAAAATTGGTTCCCCCCCCCGCTAACAGTCCAGCTCCGCCGAATCAACCGCAGCTTCATCTGGCCTGATCAAGCTTCTCCATCCCCCGTTCTTCCGCAAAATGCACCCGAATTGACCGGTCACCGAGCCCATGTAATCAAAGGCTTCTCCTCCGGTAAAAACAGTCGGAGGGGTGGCGAACGAATAAAACGTTACGGGCTTCAGAATGCCGCTGATAACAGGGCATTCTGGAGAAATCAGCTTTAGGTCCCCAGCTTCCACCTTTTAGCGCTTATTCGGGGTAAGCTCGCGGTTAGATCTGCATCGATTTTTTCGCGTTTTTTATGCGTTCACCTCTCTTTTAGCTTCTTTTTGTTTTAACAGCTTTAAAACTTTGCGTTTGGTTTTGCGAAACCCACGAAAAGCCGTTTTTTTGGTTCTCTTGCATTATCGGGGGCGGGGGGGGAGTAATCCGGCGGAAAACGCTACTTTCTAAGCATCATTTTTCCGAATAAAAAAGGCAGTGTTTCTGATTTCTAAATTGTTTTTAAAACTCCTAAACGCAACAAATCTACATCGTTTTATCAAGGAAAAATACAAAGACATGGATTTTTCGATCGAAAATGGTCGATTTTCCACCAAAATGTCAGTTTTTAACTTTTTTTGGGTTTCTTAGATAGTTTGCCACTTTAAAAATTGTTAAATTTTACGGAAAACACGATTAAAAGACTTTCCTATTACATTACTAACCCTAGCTCGAAAAAATTGGCCCTTTTCTGATTTTTTTTTTTGATCTGACACCGTGTCGAAAAAAGCGGAAAATATTTTTCTTTTCTTTTTTTTGCTCAGAGCGCATTTTTTGCACGTTTTTTCTGTAATTTAAACTCCAGGAAATGAGCCGAACCCTGCAGCTTTGTCTATTTTTGGCGGTTCTCTCGACTGTGGCGCTGGGCCGGAAGTGCTACAATTGCTCGAGCTTCGACCCGCACTGCGACGACAACTATGCACGTTATTTGATTGGTAGGAATTTCGGTTGTAGTCTGATAGGCCTTAAAAAGTTTATTATAGGATTAAAAATTCAAAATCGACGCCTGGAACTCTTATTAAAAAGTTTGGCGCGACAACGCGATTATGTTCTTTTTTCTTAACTTAACTTTGCCTTTAGCATCCATTAAATCTATTTCAAAACGAATACTACTTAAATTCTCTATAAAACGACTAGTTTCTGAATTTAAACCAGTTTTTCGGGTAGAAACCCGTACTCTGGAGAGTTTATTCTGCGTTTAACGAGCTGTTCGTGGCCAGGCAGCGCTGATAAGCGCCAAATTTGACATGTACCACGCTAAGAAATGGAGAAAATTACTCGAAGTTCTCAGTAGTTCTAAGCCTAAGCCTCTGCCTAAGCCTATACCTAAGCTTAAGCCTAATACTAAGCCTAAGCCGAAGTCTAAGCCTAAGCCCCAGCCTAAAGCATAAAACCCAAAATTCTTAGATTGCCCCCCGATCAAGGTGAACGGCCAGGAGAAGCTCGTCGTTGGGTGCCGGAAGATCGATCAATGGGTCTATGATGAGCACACAATGTTCAGGTGAGGAGAAGGGCAAGCTAGCAGTGACCATTTGTGGATCGGAATTGAAACGTGAATTTTTAGGGTGCGCCTACACGGGCCGCGACGTCAGCAACAAGCAGAGCAAGGTAGGCATGGGTTTTCTTTACTTTCCTCTATATCTCTCGCTCTCTCTCTCTGTCTCTCTCTTTCTTTCTCGCTAACTATCTCTCTCTAACACACACCCTCTGCCTTTCCCTCTCTGTCTCTGGCTCTCTCCCTTGTCTCTCTCGCTCTCCCTGTCTCTTTCTGGCTCTCTCCCTCTATCTCCCTCTCGCTCTCTCTCCCTCTCGCTCTCTCTCCCTCTCTCTCGCTAATTCTCTCGCTCTATCTCGCTCCTGCTCACGCTAAAGTTTCCTAGGGGCTCCCTCGGCATCACCCTGCATCTCGAACCAGTGCAAGGACAAAGATGGCTGCAACTCTGCCCCCACTCAGCCATTGATGCTCCTCCTCCCTGCCCTCTTCCTCCTCGTCGCCCCTCTTTCACTAGGCCTCGATTTTCATAGCGTAATCGTTTAACCCTAGCTTGATTTTATTGATTTTTCGATTTTCGTTTTTCTTGACAATTATTCAGTAAGGCATTCAATTTATTGCACGGGCAAGCACACACCATGGATTCTGAGGGTATCACAATGTCTTCGCGAGGCCTAGAAATCTATGCAAATTCTTCGAAAGTCGGAAACACGGAAAGTTGAAATCTGGATTTGATTACGACATGGAATTATTTGTGGAGGGGAGCAGGACCTGGATTTTGGAAATGAGAAATTGGAGCTCCTATTAATGCGTGATGGCTATGAATTTGCGTCTATATAAATTAAATTTAGGGTATTGGGCCAGGAAGATAAGCCTAAGCCTAAGCCTAAGCCTAAGCCTAAGCCTAAGCCTAAGCCTAAGCTTAAGCCTAAGGCCAGCCTAAGCCTAAGCCTAAGCCTAAGCCTAAGCCTAAGCTTAAGCTTAAGCCTAAGCCTAAGCCTAAGCCTAAACCAAGCCTAAGCTAAGCTTAAGCTTATCTAAGCCTAAGCCAAGCCTAAGTCTAAGCCAAGCCTAAGCCTAAGCCAGGCCTAAGCCTGGGTTAAGCCAAGCCTAAGCCTGAGCCTAAGCTCAAAAATAAAAACAAAAGGGGTTACCAAACAAATTGACTCGTATTTTCGGGCCGGGAATTCATACAAACTACATTAGTTAAAACCTTAACATTTGGTCATCATCTTGTGGGGGAGCGGAATGTGTTTCAGATGAGCTAGAAAAATTGAGGGTGAGATTTGCATAAATTTACATAAAATATAATTAGCATAATTTGATTGCATGAGAGCTACCCAGGCTACAATATTCAAAAAAAAAGGCAAAAACAAACAATAAAAATGGAGGAATTAAGCTTGCTATCAAAAGTCTGAAGATGCTACGAGATTTTGGCGCTCGAGTTCGAAATTTTGAGCCAAATTTAACCTATGCCAAGCTCAAGAGAAGCCTAAGCATAAGCCTAAGCCAAGCCAAGCCCTAAGCTTAAGCCTAAGCATAAGCCTAAGCCAAGCCTAACCCAAGTCTAAACCAAGCCTAAGCCAAGCCTAAGCTAAGCCTAAGCCAAGCTTAAGCCAGGCCTAAGCTTCAACCTAAAAGCAAAACAATGCCCCGGCCAGGACTCGAACTCGGACCCCAAACCCTGCTGCCCACTACTCTACCCACTGCGCTACACGGGCGGGTCGTCGGGTCTAAATAGTCCTTGCAACGGCTCCCTTTCCTGCTGTTCTTGACGTCGGAGCACCGTCAGTTGGTTCTCGTTCTCCACCGAGCCTTGGCTGCCTAAAAATCGGAATTTTTCGGCAGTCACTATACGCAAAGAGGACAGTCGCGTATTCGGGACAAAACACGAAAACGTGGAAGCCATTTCCGGAATGGAATGCGAAGCCCGAATGCTCGTTTGAGTGCAAACTTACTGTTTGAGAAAAATGAGGAGAACATCCCGTTAAGACCGCCTAGAAATGGGGGCAGGCTAGCAGGGAGGATTTGAGTCGATAAAACTACTCCCAACCTCTAGTAGAAGTCTAAGCCTAAGCCTGAGCCTGAAGCCTAAACCTAAGCCTTATTAGCCTGAGCCAGCAGCGTAAGCCCAAGCCTAAACCTAAGCCAAGCATAAGCCTGAAGCCTAAGCTCAGCCTAAACCTAAGCCTAAGCCTAAGCCTAAGCCTAAGCCTAAACCTAAACCTAAGCCTAAGCCTAACTAGGGAAGTATCTGAACTTGCCATCGAACTTTGAGAAGTCAGATACACCATTCGATGCGCCGTGACAAGAGGATTCCAAATATGTAATAAAATCAACGGGAGCGCATAACGGTAAAAAGTTATGAGCATTTTAAGTTTTACATTGAAATACGCCGCCGCGAGAAGAGCCCCTCCCAGCGCACCCTGTTCATCGGTCTCGTGGCCTAGTGGTTTGCGCATGGGTCTCTGGGCTGTATGACCAGGGTTCGGATCCCCTCACGATTTTTATTTTTTGCTTTTTGACCGGTTCCTACTTTTTGCATGTCCAAACTCGGGAATAAGTTTTTCTTTACTGTGTGACCCCTAAAAAGCACCAGCGATGATAAAATAACCCCCGGCAACAAAACTAGGATCGGACGCTCTCTATATCAAAGTTGGCAAAATCGTCTGAAACCGCCCTTTTAAGGCTCTGTGCGAATTCGAAGAATTTAATTTGTCAAAAATGGAACAGTACATCTCGATCAGCAGAAAATTCCCTTTCGAATGAGCTATCTTACCTGCGCTTTACGCCAAATTCTCGAAAAGTCTTTGGCTAGCTGGCCATACCCTGCCCTTACCCTGCATTCCAAAAATATTTTTTGCGGAAATTTTTGGCAGCCGTATGTAATATAGCTCATTTGAAAGAGCTTTCTTTGTTGAACAAGGAGCACTAATTAGTTTAGACTAAATTCCATTCCGCGCGATGATACAGGGCCTCAAAGATGCTGTTTTTCGTCATTTTGCCGACTTTGAAGCCTCATAACTTTTTACCGTTATGCGCTCCCGTTGATTTTATTACATATTTGGAATCCTCTTGTCACGGCGCGTCGAATGGTGTATCTGACTTCTCAAAGTTCGATGGCAAGTTCAGATACTTCCCTAGTAAGCCTAAGCCTAAGCCTAAACCTAAGCCTAAGCCTAAGCCTAAGACTAAGCCTAAGCCTAAGCCTAAACCTAAGCCTAAGCCTAAGACGAAGCCTAAGCCTAAGCCTAAGCCTAAGCCTAAGCCTAAGACTAAGCCTAAGCCTAAGCCTAAGCCTAAGCTCAAGCCTAAGTCTACCCTAGCAAAAATTATTTACGAATGGTAAGTCAGGCTCGCAAGAATAATTTAAGGATTCAGAGGCAGGCCAGCAAAGACCTTTTAGGAATTGGGCAACCTAGCAGAGATCTTTTGGAATCGAAGGTAGGCTAGCAGAGACTCTTTGCGGAACTTACCCATAAATGAAGAAGTGCGACTCCCCGCTTCGCGGGGCGAAATTCCGCCCCCATCCGTGTGGACGCTGTTGTTCCGCAGGCTGCGCATCATTTCGCCTCTGAAAATTTTTAAATAAAAAAACAAGGCTTTTTCCAAGACATTCCAAATGACATTTTACAAAATTCGATTACGGGGAAAGTTAAATTAATAAAACAATTGGTTGAATACGGTAGCTGTGAAAATCGCACGGCAAAAAGCGGGTTTTACACGTTATTTTTGGCCATTAATCCACACGTCAGTTTTCATAAATCAAAGCGGTAGTACGCGGCATTCCAGTGAACGTAAGTAGTACGCGGGAGTACGCCGGAGTACGCATGCAGTTTTTATATACATAAATTAATGCAAAAACGCCAAAAACGGAATATTACCGCATGGCCGCCCGGGAAACGCTGGGCAGTCGACTCCTAATTAGCATAAGGTGTTTAAAAGCTGTTTTAATAAGCTCTTTTGATTGGGATTATTAACAAATATAGCCAAAATTTAAGGCATTTTTAGTAAAATTACGGTAGGTTTCAAAAGCCAATTTTTAAGAAGCCAGGTTTGAAAAGCTTGGCCACAACAGAAATTGTGAAAGAAAAGGAATAGGGAGTTCTACCGAGTTCTCTGTCTTTCCCTCTCTCCGTCTCCCTCTCTCTCCTTCTCACTCTCGCCTCTCTCCCTCTCCTCCTATCTCCTCTTTCTCTCTCTCTATCTCTCTCTCTCTCTCTCTCTCTCTCCCTCTCTCTGATTTCTTTCTGCGCGCTGCCTCTCTCCGCGCTGTCTCTCTCTGTGTCTCTCTCTTTCTCTCTCCTTCCCTCTCTCCCTCTCTCTCTCTCACTCTCTAAACCCCAAATTCTCCAACCTAGCGCTCGGTTGCCTGCTCAACATTGGCTCGTGCTCATCGTCAAGATCCAGCAGATTCTCCCGGCTTCCGAATCGGCTTTCTGTCGAATCGAGTGAGGTTGCGGCTCCATCATCGTCATATTGACCTGATGCTCCTCCCGGATACACTCCCATTCGGCAGGTCGCCTAGAAAATAGGCGGAAATATTAGCTATCGTAAGCGCAGGGGTGAGAGCGCCTGCAATATTATTATTTTTAGCTGCACCCTCGTCTAGAGCTTACTCCTAAGCCTAAGCCTAAGCCTAAGCCCAGCCTCAACCTAAGCCGAATCCTAAACCTAAGCCTAAACCTAAGCTTTCCCAGTGCTACCGTTACTTTTCAGGATTTAAATGGATGATGACCCGAAGATCCGCCTCTTTCTACTCACCCTCCGTCTCCTGCGCGTCCATATCCGCCAGACTGGCCATTAAAGCGTCGTGCTGCCCATCTACCGTCATCTGGGTGGCCAGCTCGGAGACGGTCGCCCGTTTCCGGCTCATGTTTGGCAGCGGGGTCGAGGCGACGATGCTTGGGGCCTGAAAAAGATAAATAGCAATTTTTTTGCCTTCCCAGGCCCTTTAAAACGTTCTAATCCTATTTTAAAGGGGGAGTGACATCTTCAAAAAAGGCTGCC